CGTGTGTGAAAACCCTCACCAAGAAGCCACGTCTGCACAGATGTAGAGCGAGATGAGGGTCCTTGTCTCAGAGCTCGGCCAGCACTGCTCCCCATACCTTGTATCCACTTGTCAGACAGGAGGCTTGGCACTTCTTGGACCACCTTTCCCTTGTTTTCTTTCTTTCCTTTTTTCCTCATTTTTTACACTTTCAGTCTAAATGCTTATACCGTTTTTACTTCTAATTCATCCTTAGAAATGAGAAACCGCCCGAACATGTGTGGGCTGTGTCTCGCTGCTGTGAACGTCCTGGACCCTTTCTCCTGAGGCCGCTGCTGCTTCCGCCTCGGAGTTTCAGTTCTGTCTTTCTACCTCATTCTTCCCCTGGAAGGTCAGTCGTGAAGCCATTGACCATGCTGAACCTGTGTCATTTCCCTCATCTCCCATCTCTGTTCCACACTCAGGTGGGACCTCTCAAGTCAATTTTCTAAGCCACTCACTCAGGTTTCAGCAGTCTCCATTCTGCTTGTCACTTTTTTCACTGTTACAGTTTTTCACATTGTGCGCCTTGTTACCCCGAGGGTGTAGATGAATAAATGTCGTTTAGCGATCAGGGTCCTTTCAGCTTCGCCAGGGTGTCTCTGGACGCCTCTCCCTGCACCGAGCCTTCTGGGGTCTTAGAGAAGCTGTGAGTGGCCAGAAGGTGGGACTGTGCCTCAGTGCATACATGGCTGACCCTGGAACAGTCAGCCACGCAGGACCATCACAGGTGGCAAGTCGGCACCCGCAGTGAGCCAGCCCTGCTCAGCCGTGCAGGTGACAGTGCCATGTGTTCTGGTGGCATGAGATTTGGTGGAAAGTGTGAGGCGCAGACAGATCCCTCGGGTTGAGGCGGGTGCTGGCGCTTCTGCCAGAGGCCAGCAGCTGCAGATGATGCACTTCATCATCTCAGGCACGAGGGCCCTTCAGGTGGACAGTGGTGAGGAGCGGACAGCTGCCCTGTGCCCATTGGCTTCCTGCAGGGCCTGGGTGTGGGCCAGCTCTGAGGGGCAGGGGTGAGGTTAACAGGGTGGGTGTTCCCCACACGCCGTGCATGCCCTTCCCCTCCCCACACACAAGGAGAGTGTCCTGGTGGGCCAGAGGGGCGGTCCTGGAACCACGCCTCCCTGAAGTCTGTGGGGAACGTGGACAGGAGCTGTTAGTCCTCCCTGCATCCCACTCTTGGTGCGTCTTCACTGGAGGCCTGGGGGGCTGCCATGTGCCAGGGTCTCCTCAGCTTTGGTGGCCATCTCCGCTGTGACCTCGGCAGCGAAGGCTCAGAGGTACGTTGTCACCACATGGTCCAGACAGCAGCCCGACAGGGGAGTGGCTCATCCTGTCCTGACATCCACTGCACCAGCAGACCTTAGTCACATGGCCGAGCCACAGAGGGGCCTCCAGGAGCAGCCGCCCAGCCGTCTACTGAGCCATATGGATACAGTGCAAGGCTCTTACCAGCAAGTGAGGGGTCACCAGGCAGCCAAGATCCCAAAGAGGGGGGCACAGAGGGAGCAGCCGAGCTTCTGGGATGTCGTCCCTGCAAGTTGCTGACACAGCTGGGAGGCTGGGGAGCTGAGAGACACAGAGGTCTGCATGGACAAAAAGTGGAGGTCAGACCACCGGAGGAGGGACAGCGAGAGGGGTGCTCCTGGCCTGGTCAGGGTGAATGCAACCACAAGAGGGTGTGCAAGAGGCTGAAGAGACCAGAGCACCCCAAAGGGCTCAGCCCCCACGCCATGGCTCTAGAAGAGGGGCTGGGGTGAGGGCTCTGAGCTGCCCCGACCTATGGGGTCACGGTCTGTTCCCCAGGCCGTCGAGAGCCAGTGGCACTCAGCAGACTTCAGGAAGCCGCCCGTCTGCCCAGAGCAGCCCCATCAGCTCAGACTTGAGACCTGGGGACCCTGACGGGCCGAGGAGCTGGAGAGAGACCCCTGGCCCAGGGCGAGCACAGGCTGGGCTGTTTTTTGGCACAGGGTTTTGTTGACATCATAGACAGAGAAGAATAAGAAATAATTATTCGGGGGCTCAGAGCCAGGAAAACTAGTTTTCCAAATTAATCCAGGGAGAGCCGTGAATCCACAATCTCTCGTGTCACACATCATAAAATTCCGTCGCGATCCATAAAACTGACAAGACCCATCGAAAGCCCGGCTTCTCCCTCACACGCTCGTTAGGCCTCATCTGTGACCCCGCACTCCTCCCAACTGCCAGATTCAAGACCTTTAAATTGAAATTCAGCAATTAAGGGGCTGTGCATCAGCTGAGTTTTGCTCAGCCTCGGAGAAGAGCTGGGGAGACTTGGGGCCGGACCACAGGGAGGTGACAGGTGACAGGTGACATGCTCTGGGTGGAGGCGGGGCAGCCCCTCCCATCATCGTCATCTCATGGCCTTCCTCACACCGCACCGCTGTCCTGCAATGAGGCCTACGCTCCCTCTCTCCATGTCTCTGAAATGACAGCACCGGACCCAGCTGTCTGCTCTCCAGGCTTCGTAGATACACCTGGCAAGTCACCTGGATGGGGAAATGGAGGCTCTGCTGCTTAGTGACTATTGGCTCATTACGATCTTGTTTCTTTCAGAAGTGTGTCCATTTGGTTAGGTGCACTGATGCATTCACACATTGAACTTCATGAAATTTCCCTTTTTATTCCTCTTGTTTCTATAGCAGTTTTACCATTTTCATTTATTTGCTCGTTTCATCTTTTCCTCGAAGTCTCTTAAAGTGTGCCCATGTGGCCGTTCTTCTCACGTGACAGATACCTGTGCTGTGGTTCCCGGGTTCCGCTCCCATCTGTCCATCCCTCATTTTGTCATTTTGTGTTCTGGGTCGCTGAGCGACTGTGGCTCCGGCTTGCTTCCTCTTTTCTGAGGCCCAGGCTTGAGGCAGCTCATCTCCCTGCGAACACTTTAATGGCGCCCACCGTGGACCCACCCGCCCTCACCTCCCAGAACCCCTGACTCCATTCCCTGGTCACCCCGCCTCCCACCCCTTCCTGGGTGCTCCAGCCCCTACGCTAGTCCTGGGAGCCATGGCCACCCTCCCCCCCTTCCCAGCACTTGCTCTGCAGGCCTGTTCCCGCTCCCCCTCACACCTTCCTCTCGTCCTGGGCTGGTTCCGGGGCCTGAGAGGGAGCCGGCCAGACGATTCCGCACTGTGTCCCCACAAGGAGGGGATCAACTCACACCCCACATGGGAAACTAATTCAAATGGATGAGAGACCTAAACATCCCAGCGAGACCTACAAACCTTATCACCCTGGGGTATGCAGAATTTTCTTAGAGGGGACACAAAGGCACTAATTGTAAAGTTTTCTAAAATTGATAACTTGGACTTCATGAAAATGTAAAACTCTACCTCTTCCAAAGATACCGTAATGAAAAGGCAGGCCACCAGCTGGCAGAAAATAATTGCAATATATGCATATCTGACAAAGGACTTAGAGCCCAAGAAATCAGCCAGTTGTTTTTTTTAATGGGAAGAAACTTGAACAGATTCTTCACAGAGAACATGTGAAATCCAGCAAATTCAGTAAGAGACCCTTAAGGTCACTGCTGACTGGGGGACGCCAGGTAAGATCAGCCAAGCTTCTGCTCAGTCCCAGACAAAGGGCTGAGGCGCCCAGACCACGACTCGGCAAATGGCTTTGCCTTTAAAAGTCAAACATACCACGTGACCCAAAATGAGTCACCACCTGTATGTAAATATTCATGGAAGCTTGTGTCATGGTAGCCAAGCCCTGGGCGCACCCGGTACTCACCTCAGGAGGGACAGGTAGATGCCTACATTGTCCCTCTGCGGGGCATGGGATGCTCAGAGGCCAGGAGTGCAGGTCTCAGAACGAGAACCTGGAGCTGAGCCAGGGGAGCAACACTGAGTTTTGGAACGGGCGGAATGACGGGGCGTGATGTAGGTCAGGTCAGAGGCTGGGGTGGGTACGGGGTCGACACCAACAGACACCAGGGAACTTTCTGGGGCTGGGAGTTGTGGCTTGTGTGGTATTTACTCAGCAGTAAGCGTGTGAGAACCCATTGAACTATATGCTAAAAATTGGAGTATTTTATTACTTTTTAAGTCAAGTCCAGCCAACAGCCCTGGACTGGCCTGCCCTTGTGGCTGCTGTGAAAGTTCAGGAAGATGGGCACCAGCTAAGCCGTATCCAAGGGTAGGTCAGTACACACAGGCTGTCCAGAGCCTGCCACACCTGTCCCAGTAGATGCCAGGGCCCAGGGAAGGGCCTTGTGCATGGTCACTGGGGGTGGAGGTCAGGGCAGCAGACAGGCAGGCGTATGCACCAATCAGAAGAGCAGTGAAGCCCCGCCCATCTCCTGCATGACCCGGGCACAGTCCTCCACCTCCAGGGGCTGTGAGACTCCAGACGCCCCCACTTCTGGTGGCAGACCCTCTCCCTAGGGAGGGCCACACACTTCAAGGTCCGTGGGGCCTGTCATTCTTGAGGCGGCCCCAGACCTGTATTGATTAACAATCGCTTTAACAATTGCCATGACATCAAACAACACAAATTTGTTATCTCACAGCTCAGAATCCCTGCAGCCTTGGCTGTGGCTTCAAGTAGGGTCTCAGAGGCTGGAACCAAGGCGTCGGCAGGCTGGGCCTTCTCTGGAGGCTCTGAGAAGAATCTGCCTCCAAGCTCACTCAGGGCAGGGGCAGGTCTGAGGGAGGCCAGGTGTGTGGCCTGTGGGGGGAGCAGGGCCTCGGCCATGACCTCCTGCCACCCTGGTCCCTTGGGAACCAGCACAGGCACCCACGTGTGTTTCTGGGAAGAACCTGGAACCCCTTGGCCCCAGAGCCTCTGGGTGTGGAATTGCTGCGTCCTTCCTGGTGGAGCAGCTGAAACAGGCGGCTGGAAGGGATGGCCAGGCTGCGGCACACATGAGCAACCCACATGCTGGGCAGGGTCCGCGTGGGCAGCCGTCCTTGGCTCTGCTCAGCCGGGGTCTGAGGTGCTGCCCTGTCCCGCAGGTGGTCCTCATCATCAGCGGGAACCTAAGCTTCCTGAACTGGCTGACCATCGTGCCCAGTGTCGCCTGCTTCGATGATGCCACCTTGGGGTTTTTATTTCCCTCTGGGCCTGGCGGCCTCAAGGACCAAGTCCTGAAGATGCAGAAGGAGAAAGCTCGGGGAGCCCAGCCTACGCTTAGATACGGTGGGTGGACCCCTGCAGGCGTGAACACAAGGCCTCCTATCCCCAGACCCAGGACAGCTGCCCCTCGAGGTGCTGGCACACCCCACAAGGGCAGTTGTCATGATTCAGTTTCTGCATCAGCTTCAGAATGATCCTTGGCTGGGGGACAAGGGGGTGGTGAAGAGGGGCCCCTTCGCAGACTCCCAGGAGGGGGGCCAACAGTACCTCCCTCGGCTCCTGTGAGCCCAGAGGGACTAACAGAGGCCAGGGTCTGGGGGGCCAGCTAAAGGGCGAGGCGTGGTCTCGGCTCCTCCCTGTGTGGGGGCCGGGCCTGGGGGACAGATGCTTACCTGCTCTCTCCCTCTCCACGCGCAGGCTGCGTGGTGCGACAGGCGGTCAACCTGGCCCTGGGCGTCCTGGTCGCCTGGCTTAGCATCCCCGTGGTCCTCAACTTACTGAGCCCCAAGCAGGTCATGAACAGCTCCTTCAACCCCCTCAGAATCGTCAACACATACGGGGCCTTTGGAAGGTATCAGCATAGCTGGGAGTCCCGTCTCGGCCACCTCTCTGGCCCAGGTGTGGTCTCCTTGTCCACCATGTGGTCACATGGACCCCAAGGCCCCAGAGGAAGGCTTAGCCCTAACCAGCCAAGCAGGCGCTACTGGTCTAGGGCAGAGTCTCAGTTCTGCTTTCTGTCCCCTCGGGGCCACTGTGACCCTGTAGGAGAGGCATGTGAAGGCCAGCCCCCACCTGCTCCCGCAGCTCCAGCCCCACGCTGGTCAGCTCAGGGTGGAGGGTGGGGAGTGGGGCGAGGGGTGGGGGTGGAGGCACAGGCGCCACCTGCCCTGCAGCTGCCTGGAGCCCAGCCACCCCGACTCGGTCTCCCCGACAGCATCACCAGGGAGCGCACAGAGGTCATCCTGCAGGGCACGGCCAGCCCCAACGCCAGTGCACCAGACGCGGTGTGGGAGGACTACGAGTTCAAGTGCAAGCCAGGCGACCTGAGGAGACGGCCATGCCTCATCTCCCCTTACCACCACCGCCTCGACTGGCTCATGTGGTTTGCAGCCTTCCAGGTAAGGGCCCTCTCCTCCCCTGGCCCTGTTTCCCCACATCCTACATGCCCAGGTGCTCACGGTCGACCCAGGCTCTGGTCACTCCAGCATTCCCAAGGTTGTGGTGCCTTCAGTGGGGACACCTGGGGCCCCAGAAACTCCTGCCATAGGGCTGGTGGAGGTGGAAACATCATAGTCCACACGACACTCAGCTGCGGGCGCCATGTAGCCCGCCCCCCCACACACTCTGACCCGCCTCACACAACCCATCTGGGCCCTTGTGAATGCGGAAGGTCAGGCTAAGGACTCCCGCTGTTGGGGCATCAACTATAGAGGAGCTTCACTAGCCCTCGAGGCAGAACTCACTGCTCAGCCACTGAGGACACGCCCACCAAGACCCAGGGCCTAGATCTGAGGCTAGGCAAAAGCAAATGACAGCACTCTCCCAGGTTCCCGCCTTCCCAGGGGCAGGGTCTCCCCCTGGAGCAGCCTAGACCCAGGCCAGCATCTGACTGGGCTGTGGTCCGAAGGCCGGCTTCCTTCCGGGTCTTTCCCTGTGCATGCACTGCACACATGGGCTCTGCCTCTGGACAGCAGTGATTCCCCTCAGGCATGGGTCCCCATGTTGCTCAGACCCCTGCTGCATCCCAGGGGCTTCCCTCAGACACCCTCACACAAGGATCTCTGGGTTTCGAGGACCAGGGTGCCACAGCCAGCTTCTCAAAGCACCTCCACCAAAAAACAAGACAGGCATGGCCAATGCCAGGGTGGCCGAGGCCAGAGTGGCCAACATCCACAGTGTTTGCTCAGGCTGGCCCATCTCGCCCATGGAGACAGCCTCAGGGAGGCTCTGTCCATTGCCTGAGAACCCAGGGCTAGCAGGTGACAAAGCCAGAGGTGAGCTGGTACAATCAGGCCCCGCGCCTTCTGCATCCAAGCTACACAAGGACAGGACAGCAGGGCAGGGGACCCAGCACACAGGTGAATGATTCATGGACATCTGGCCAGCAGTTGAAAATGGAAGCCAGCAGCCCCTTTGGAGGGGAACCCACACCAAAGCACTGGGGCCTAAGCCCCCAGAGCAGCCCACCGACCGCACGAGTCAGACACGCCCAGGACAACAGACTAATGTAGGGAGTGACCCAGCAGGGCCCTCTGAAAGGGGGAGCAAGCAGAGAGCACACCCTCTCCTGAGGGCCCCTGGGGGCCGCACCCCCACAGTTCCAGCCCACCACAAGACTCAGGCTGGTGGCTTCACTCAAGTGCCCAGGCCGTGGCTGTGACAGCTCAGCACCAACCCGGTGGCCACGCCTCTTCTTGCCCCCAGACCTACGAGCAGCACGAGTGGGTCATCCACCTGGCGGGCAAGCTCCTGGCCAACGACGCCGACACTCTGTCCCTGCTGGCCCTCAACCCCTTTGCAGGCAGGGCCCCCCCAAGGTAAGACTCCCCTCTTCTCCGATGGGACCCCCACCAGCTGTGGCCTCAGCTGCCTCGGGGCTTCTCCCCTAAATGCTGAATGTGCTTTGGGAGCTGGGCCCCCACCCCTTGGAAATGTGCCCAGTGCAGAGGTCCTCAGGTTCCCCGCCCCCACCCCCTGGAAACATGCCGGGTGCAGAGGTCCACAGGCCCTCAGGCCCGGGTCACCAGCACTGCTCAGCTGCTGAGAAGACAGCGGCTCCTGGGGACAGGGTGGGGCCCCCAGACAGGAAGTCCTGCCCCTCAGTCCTGGGGGGAGGGGGGCGTGCTCTGAAAGCCTGCAGCTGAGCTCTCGGCCTTCCTGCAGGCTGCACACCACGGGGTTGCCTTTTCCACAGCCCAGCCTGCCCCCAAGTCCTCTGATCTGGAGCCTGGTGGTGAGGGGGGCGCTCCTCTTGGGCCCCTCTGGCTTCCCTGGGCAGCCTCCCCCACCCCAGGAAGGTCTGAATGGATACACAGCTCCTCCTGGAGCATAGACCCAGGACATGGAGCCCCAGTTCCCCTAAGAGGCTGGGTCTCCACAGGCAGGGGCTGCAGGCTGATGCCCAGCCTCCCCGCAGGTGGGTCAGGGCCGAGCACTACAGGTACAAGTTCAGCCGCCCTGGGGGCCTGCACGCCGCTGAAGGCAAATGGTGGATCCGAAAGAGGCTGGGCCCCTACTTCCCTCCACTCAGCCTCCAGGACCTCAGGGACTACTTCAGGTCGCGGGAGTGGCCGCACCCGGAACCGAAGTAGTGGGGCCCAGGGCCTGTGCACCCGAAATAAAGTGGAAAGACCTTGGCACCCCAGCGTTGGCTCCTGCGCCGAGATGTCCAGGAAAGCAAACCCACAGAGGAGAGGTGGGGGCCGCTGGGGGTTGGTGGGGGCCCCCAGCTGTCCTCACCTCCCACATTTGGTCCCCAGGCAACCCCAAAGCCCCTACCCCACCCCCAGTCATCTCCCTTGTCACCAGGCCCCCAAGACATCGGTGTCCCATGGGAGCTTCCAGCTCTGATCAGTCTTGGACCACCAGTACCCACTGCATGGGGCCTCGGCTCCCCACATTGGCCACAGCCTGGCCCAGGGGTCCCTCGAGGTCCCTGGCACCTGGGGTACTGGTCGACAGCCAGGCGCATACCCCCCAGCAGCCGAGCCCCATCATGTGCCGTGTGTTTGGTGCAGTTATAAGGAACCCTCCCTTCTCTCCTCTCCTCTCCACACCCCCGGGTTGGCTCCCCCACCATCCACCCCCCCACCTCAGAGCCCTTCCTGGCTGGCCTGGGCCCCGCTTTCTTCCCCAACGAGCAGCGTCCACAAGCATGGACAGAAGCCCTTTGTCCACCCTTGGGTGGGCCACTCCCATCGGACCCTGAGAGGCTGCGCCTCTTTCTCCTTTGTGACCACAACCCCCCAACGCACACCACGGGCCTCCTGCACCCTGACCTGCAGGGGGGTGGTGGGGGGAGGGAGTGGACACAGCAGAGTGGTCTGCCCAGCCTGGGAGCTAGGGCAGCAGGGACTGCACGGTAGAGATTCTGAGGCCCAGTTGTCAGAAGTTAAACTGGCTTATTTTTTGCTTGGCAATCCTGGGGCCCCAGTGCAGTGAAAAGTGGGGTGCAGCTGAGAACCGTCACAGCCTGATGTGAGCTGGGAGTGAACGGGCTGCTGTCCCGCTGGCAAACAGCACAGCCCCAGCCCTGGTCAGCCAGGTCAAGGGGTCCTGGGGGTGTGGGAGCTGGTTCCACCCAGGGGGCAGCGGGCTGCGGGGTCCTCCCTTCTCCCCTGGCCTGGCAAGCGCCAGGGGGAGTGGCCACCCACCCCTTCCGCTCCATCCCCAATGTCCAGGGCGCCTGGCTGCACTGCGGAGGGTCCCAGTGGGAAAAAGGTGTTCAGGCCAGGAGGCCGGGATGAGGTGGGCACAAGTGTGGGTCTGTGTGGAGCGCCCCCCACCGCCTGGGGGGCCAGCCCAGGTGCCAACAGAGAGGCCGTGTTCCTGCTCCCAGGGAAACAGGCGTCCTGTGTCTGGCTGGACAGACGGGGCCTCAGACAGGGAGCCTGGAGCCAGCAAGTCTACCCACAGCAGCCAAGCGCCGGCCGCTGTGCCTGGGCAGCCCTTCCTGGGGGGCCGTCCTCGGGGCTGTGTGGATGGTGGGAGCAGCAGGGAGCCTGAGGAGACCCTGCGTCTTGCTTCCACGCTGCCAGCCCAGAGCCGCAGGTGGCCTCCCTGCCAAGAGCCATGGTGTGTCCTCACTGCTCCCCATCCCTGCTCAGCCCGCTCTGGGCTTGCTGCCACCCGGGGCCCAGCACCCCTGACTGTGGGCTCCTCTCTGGCCTCCAGTCAGCCGTGCCCCCCAAGCAAGCCTGGAGCCAGTAGCAGAGTGACACAGGGGGCCTATTGGCTCAGGGACACCTCAGGAATCAGGCAGTCCCACACCAGTCCTGGGACAGGACAAACATCCGCTCACCGGGAGGTGTCACAGGTGGCCACAGATCCAGGTTGTGAGGGCGCAGTGGCCAGCGTGAGGCTCCACCCCTGACACAGGAGGGCCCATCAGGCCTGCTCCCCGGCAGCCCCTCCCCCTTCCAGAGGCTCCGGTGTCAGCAGCCCTGGAGCCTGTCCTGAGGCCACACCCTCCTGTTGACGGGGGTCAGATGCACCCTTCCAACACTCAGAACCGTCCCATGGTCCACCTCCCGAGCATGAACCTGAGGTCACTGCCCGT